TGTGTGAGGGAGTCGTTGCGAAGCAGCCCTCCTCCGGCAGGCAAAAAGATCGTTTAAAACACGAGGTTGTTTTTTTTTGGTTTTTTTTGTTTTTTTTTAAAACAATAAACGAATTACGAGGGTTTTTTTTAAAAAAAAAAAAACTAATAATCTCAGAGACTCCAAAAGGATCCTTAGAGGAGCTTTTGTAGTCCGGCAATGGGTTTTTCCAGACAGCAGCTCATTTAAAAAACGGTATTAAAAGAGCTCGTTTTTATCGCCTTCAGCGTTCCTTGAAATGGAAGGTTTTATAGAACCGTGCAAGGCTCATGTGGTTGTAGGATCTATCACGACCGTTTTAAGTAGCGATTAATCATCCCTGAAAAGCACCCACGGGGCCATGCGTTTATTTTTATGCATCTGCCGGCTTCTGCAGACGTTTTTAAAGACATTTGTAATCTTATATTCACTTACCTGAAATATAAGCCAAACTGACTTTTTTTTAAGGGGGATTGCCCTGTAAATGGTATTAAAAATGTGCTCTAAGCCCCAAAATATTTACCTGAAATGAAATCTAAACGAATTAAATTTGTAATCCAGAAAAGAGAAGGTAATCTCAGAAAAACAGATGGTAAGGTAATGAGAAGATATGAGGAGATAATCTCAGAAAGACAGGTGGTAAGTTGACTTTAAGTGCATCTTTTGTGTTTAGCTTTGAAATGTGGTAATCTATAGCCTGTTAGCCGCTTTATTGTATTTCAAGTTTTAGGTGCTGGATGTAGTTTCTTTCTCTTGCTTTTCTCTCCTTGCTTCAGTCAAGATGCCCTCAATTAAAGAAGAGAAGGTGGCAATTGTGGCTAGGAGGGCCTTTACACAGTCTTATGCCCAGATCAGAAGGCTCTGTCCACAGTCACTCATGCCTCCCCACTGGACTACTGTAGAGTAACACACTCTACATGGGGTTCCCCCTGGAGAGTATCTGGAAGCTTCAAGGTGCAGAATATGTGTTTCTAGAACATCACATGTTGTACCTCTGTTCCACAAGCTGCATATGTTGCCACTTTGCTTCTGGGTCCAATTCAAGGTGCTTTAAAGCCCTTCGTGGTGTGTCACGAGACCGCCTCCCCCCATTACATCGGCCACTCCCTCTGAGCGGTTGAGAATTCAGACTGTGGGTTCTGTCTGCTAGGGATTTGCACTTGATGGGTACCAGGAGGTAAGCATCCTCCCAGTCCCAATGTGAGATGAGGCTCCATCCCTGTTGATGTTCAGAAGGTCCCTCAAGACCTGGTTTTGTTACCAGGCTGTCTCCCAGGGGACCAGTGAAATCTTATAACGGTTAATAAATGTCTGCAGTTAATAATTACTTTGCCATGCAGTTTTTTTTTCATTTTTAATGTTTGTTTTAAATTTTAAGAATGATTTTTTATGTATTTTAATTTATTATTGTATAACACCGTATTGGTAAACTGTCTATATTTTTAATAGTTATTAGAAATTCAGGGACTCTTCTTCGGCAACTTCTCTATGTGTGCTTGATTTTCATTTAAGTCATAACATTTTTATAATGTTCTTTCTGCATTAACATTTTTATTGAGTTATAAAGTAATGTAAAATACAAAGTAATACAAATACAAAGTAAATAGGAAAGCAGTGGGGAGGAAAAGAGGAAGGAGACATGAGGAAAGGTAAGAAAAAGAAGCATTGACTTCTGACTCTCTCTGTTACAGTAAAATAAGGTATTAACATCAAATCACAACTTTTTGCTTTTTCATAATAATGTGAACAAGCCACTTCTGTGGATATCTATCAGTCTAATCAGTAAAAACCCAAAGTCTCAGAGTTTCATTTTTCTTCTCCACATCAAGCACGAAGTTCAGAGGTGGTCTCCATGTGGAAACAAAAGTATTTATAATGTCCAGTCATGTGATTCCTGAAATATCTTTTATCTTTTTCTCTATTCTGTTTTATAGTTTTAAGGAAAAAATGTGTGCTGTGTTAATTTTAGAATTTGCAAAAATATTCCATAGATTTTATCATTATACCAAAGTAACCAAACCAGAACTGATTATTAATAATGTACTACCTGTTCTTGAAAATGCCACCTAACACTAACTTCTGTTATTCCCTTATATAGTTACAATAATTACTTGGGAACAGTTAGATTCTGAGAGGAACAACTAATGAATATATTTGAATCAATTGAATTATTTCCGAAGTATTTTGCTCATTAGTAAGACCATAATGATACATTAAATAATGTTCTATATTGTGTAATATAGTTTTTTGATAACTATGTCGTAGATCAGTATCTGGTTTCATCTAGTTGTTTGGGTTTCTTTTTTTCTTTTTACACAGTTTGAAGAAGAATTCCCTTACATGTTCCTTTTCTTTTCTGTTGTTTTTCTTTTTGCTGCATATTCTTCATTTTTCATATTTTCATCTGCAAAAGTTTTGTTTATTTCCTAATTTTAGATTTTTTTGAATATTATTTGGTCAGCCTTTTCTTCTTTACTTATGAAATGATCCCTTCTGCTTCTGAATTAAGCTGATTCCCTCAGCAATCTTTCATGGATCAGAAATGGTTCTGCATCTCTTTATTGGTTAATCTTCATTTTATCAGTCATATTTTGCTTGTTTAAATTATTCTTAATTTCTGAACATAAAACCACTTAAATTTGCCTTTTGAAACTTTGTTTTGGAAATACCATAATTGGAAAAACTAAAATAGGACTGTGTAAAGCATGTTTCACAACTGATACGTATAATCACAAAACAATTAGTATGCTTTCATTTTTCTATTCTTAAACTTTGGAATTTTAATAATCTGCCTTCAGCTTGCTTTTTATGTGAAAATAAATTAAGTAAAAGGTGTTTTCAAATATAGAATTATAGCCTCATTTAATCTTCTTTTAAATATAAGAATGAAGGGATGACACACTTTTTGATGGAATATTTATTTTGTTTAACTTTGCAATTCTACAAAAACATTTAAGACAAATTACATAAAGAAACTTAAATTTGAGCAACATTAAATAATTCTCGTCAATAGCACAAAAAAGGTTCTGCCTTGCAAAATGTTTTACTAGTCTGCTTTTTGAATACCCTAATAGAGTATTAATCTCTTTATCAGCCCCTATTAGAAAGTAAAAGCATGTCAAAAATTTAGCAAATTTATAGAATATGCAATATCTCATCTACACGAGTATTTGTTTCACTGCCCTATGTAGAAGAATCTTTAGCACAACTAGCACAGATACACAGCAGACCAACAACATATTCCTTTCCACTTCTGGCAGCTAACTTTTTATGTTGATTATGTGAGAAAACTTTTCATTTCCAGTGTGTCCAATCTATATAGAATTATAGTAGACTAGCATCTAAAGATGGGTGCTCTATGACTTTGTTGTTGACTAGAATGGTGGATGTCTGTTTTGTCTCCAGTCCATGTTTCCATGTTAAATATGCAAAAGACAATGTGTGCAACCAGTTCAGGAACCAAATGAAAATGCTGGAGGAAGGGGAGAATGATTTCCATTCTTCCTCCACCATTTCACTACACTATATACATATTAGGTAGGTGGAAGGGCACTTCTGACATAGAAGCTAAGTAGGCCTTTAAAAGTGGTGTGACCATAGTTCATTCCCTTGCTTCTGACCTTTACAAAATTCCTTGTAGTTGCATATGATATGCACCATGGTTACAAGAAGAATGCTTAAATATAAAATTGCAGCAATTAATAATCCAGAAAATAGCATAAATAAAAACTCCAGCTCTGTAAACAGCAAAAAGAAAATATCATTTCAAGATAGACATTTTTAAAGAAATGTTGGAAATTAGCCTGAATACACCTTTCAGCAAGATGGACAGAAAACAAATTTAACAAATAGATAAAAATATATAAATGGAACACACATTATTACCTTCAGAAAGTCATATGGGAATGGATACCAGGCATTTGAACCCATTGAGCCTGTTTCACAAATGCAGTGCTGCTACAGAAAAGACCTATTAACCAATCATGTCCAAATCCTAGTTGGAAGAAGATTGCAGCAAACAGTCCTTGATTTATAGCTGTAACGAGTTATCCAGGTATTTTTCTAAGACCTTTTGGAACACCTCTACTGATCTAGTAATTAACATAATCAGCTTTTATGAGTACCAGGTTAAATACATTTCTAAAAAGTGGGTTGTTCAATCAGAAATACAATTTTAATGAAAATGATTTAAATCAATTTGATTGAATTTAATAGAGATTATATTGCTACACAATGTTGTGTGTGTACACATACACGTACATACATACATACATACATACATGTCTTCCTATTTAAACAATTGTAATGTCATCTGTGTAACTGCCTGGAACTACTGTTTTAACCCAGTAATAGAATAATGTCATCCTAAAAGGGGGAAGCAAGCTAAGGATCATAATGAAATATTTTTTTATTTGAGACCAATACAACTAGGTTTGATAGAATTAAATAGATGATTATTGGTCGCTGGCCCTAAATAATTTAGAATAAATCATTTTTACAGAAATTTGAGGAGATTTTATAACAGGTAGACACATTTTCTAGTACAGTCAAAAAGCTACATTAGTTGATAAGAATGCTTAAAAGGGTATTTTTCAGTTGCATAAAGATGTATCTGGTTTTGTCCAATGAGCCACTTCTGAATTAGACCCTAAAGAGAGCTGAAAATAACATTCTGTATGAACTTTTATCAAATGCATCTTCCACTAAACTGTTGTAATTACTCTGGATATTTTATTACAATGATAAAGAACATTTTAAGAAGTTTTAGATGGCTGAAGCTTTGTAAATTTTAAATGATAATATAAGTTATATGTTACTTTAATTTCCTTGTTTTGCATTTCCAAAGTACTTTGTTGTTTTATTCAAGTGATCCCAATTTTATTTGGTATCTTTTTATATTTAATCTTTGGCACATTGGGAAGATCTTTTTAAGGATACATTTCAGTTCCATTATTTTATTTTATAATACACTACATACACTACTATAATACACTACCTTTATTGTGGAGTTTCAGATTAAATCAGATTCCTTTACTACCATCATAATTTATTTGACAGGAGTCAGAAGTGAACATTAGAGCAAAAATGTGTTTCCTTGATGTCAGTTTGAGGTAATTATGCTGAGAAAGACCTCTGTCAATATTCTGCAAGTGAGAGGTGACTTCATCTCTGCCTTACAGTACTAGATTCAGTGAAGAAAAACTCCTTTCCAGAAACTGAAGACTCAGCAGGCCTCAGAGAGAGCATTTGGAGGTATAATTTGTGCTCCAGATGGCCCATTGCGCCAGAATATTACGAACTTTTTGAAAGTATAAATATTTATGGCAATACATATCTTGATCCAAGCTACTATTTCAGTATATACTTTTTCTGAATGTTGTTATTCATGTAAAATAGCAAAGCCCTGAATTCACTTTCTTAGGATTCTTTTATTTATTTTGTAGTGAATAAGTCCAGAAGAGCTGTTATTTCTGTTTATCTTATCTAAATTAATATTTCTTCACACATTATCCTCAAAGGAGGAATATAAAGATAACTTTCATAGGAGATTCTCTGTAAATACTCAGTAATGGACATTTCAAAAGATTCATGGTTCTGAATCTGATTGTTCTCTGCTTTTTTTTTAGGTTCTTTTTAAAATGTCTTTTCCACCTCACTTAAACCGTCCTCCAATGGGAATCCCAACCCTTCCCCCTGGAATTCCACCTCCACAATTCCCAGGTTTTCCTCCACCTGTACCTCCTGGTAAGTTACATCAGAAACTCATCAGATTAGCCTCATTTTTCCATCATGAATTAATAAATATTTTAAATAACTAAATATAGTTGCATTGGGTAGTTAATAAGGAAAGTAATCTTTATAAATATAGTTTTCTTGCATTTCTATTTAGTAGATGTTAGTAGGTGTTTTAAAATTGTGGTTGATTTTTGAACATAAACTGTTAACACAATCTCTTTTCACAGGGACACCAATGATTCCTGTGCCAATGGGTATTATGGCTCCTGCACCAACGGTAAGCATAATATAAAATACATCTTGTGTAAACTTTATGGAAATAATTGCAAGATTTGATTACCTTTATGTCATCTTTCAAAATAATATTAGTGTCTAACAGAAATAATAGCAATTAATAGTAATCAGTTACAAAAATATTGAACACTGCTACCCATCTGGTGCAAAGCTAGATCACCCGCTGTAGTATACCATGGATAGCACGCATGTGTGAGCAAAACGAACTAGCAATCTTAGGCTGCCAGAACTACTCTGTGGTAAAAAGCATTGTAGACTTCCCTGGTTAGGTACAGCCATACACTTAAAAAATTTAAAGTGATCATCAAAGATTGATCAGTATAATAGTTGCCTATATTTTACAAACTTAGGGTCATATTCAGGAACACAGGACTCCCCTTTCTTTGAAAAACTGCTTCTACTCTTTGTCATGTTTTAAACTAGGTTAAACCTAACTAAATCTAACTTCAATTATTGTTTGCAAAACAATGAGATCATTGATAAATTGGAATGATCATTACCGTTGCCTCAATAATCATGGTTAAAGCCAAGAAGGAGAGAGTTTTACAATAAAGAAGAAGAAATGGGAGTTTCTTAATTGGCATGCTCCAAAAATAAAAGAAAAATCACTTCTAAAGAGTAAAAATTATATTTGCGCTGATCCCCAGAAGATCATTAAGTTGTTTGAACACAGGAATAGGTAATTAGCTGTTGGAGCACTCCCCAATGCTGTGCCCAAATTTGGTGGCAAAACTTTGTATCAAAAATGCATAATAGATGCACTAACTTTAAAATACACTATTTGCTACTCTAAACATTTCAAATCCCCAAAATGGAGGAGAAAAGCAAATACTAAACATGATTGGGTGCAATCCAGTGAGCCAAAATAATAGCTTTTAACAAACTCACTCCAAATTTCCAAAAAATGACCATCTATATTTTAATTAATACTTCCAAATTTTAAGAAAAGTTATTCCTCTCAGGTGGCATTTTAAATATGAAGAATATATGTAGAATATTAAAAATGTATAAATTTAAATAGAAATATTCTGAATTTCTATATAATTTCCCATTTGGATTATTTTTGTATGCAGTTTGATTTTTGCCGAATCAACTGAAAAAAAATTGCATGAAATCTCTGTTGTAGAAAAAGCTATTTAGGCAAAATTAATGAATACTGATCTTCAAAGTAAATGTGACTCATGATTTATATAGTATTTGTTTTCAGTAATGTATTGTTATTTGACCATTTTGTTGATATGTTAAATAATGTGGTTCTTCTGTATTTCTGGACTTTTTCTTCTAATGAAGATACGATAAGGATTTTTCCTCTCTGAAATTTAACATAGGAATCTCTTTATTTTCAGGTATTGGTTCCAACTACAGTGTCGATGGTTGGGAAACACATGGGTGTTAGAAAGGAACATCCAGGTCTAAAGAACAAAGAAAATGATGAAAACAGTGGCCCCACCACCACTGTCTTTGTAGGCAACATATCTGAAAAGGCATCAGACATGCTTATACGACAGCTTCTTGCTGTAAGTAACATAACAGTATTAGAACTTAGTCCTGCAGATCTCAATTTGGGTATTTTGACATCTATTTTGTTATATTTGTGTATTGATCTAAAATGCTCGTTGGCCAAGATTTAAACTTGCAACTTATGTCATTTGATTTCCATGAAGAATTTTTCATCTCAGCTTCATATGATAGTGAAAAGTTCCTCTCATTGTCTATACACTCAAAAACTATCATGTAGATGTGGGGGACTTGGTGCCTTTCAAATATTTTGGATGCTAGTTTTTGTGAACCTCAATTGACACAGCCATTGATAAATGATAGTAGTAATTACAGTAATTACAGTTCAAAGTATATGGATTACCCAATATTATCTCTTGCTGCATTAGCCAAATAAATTTCCATTCCACTACTGCTGCCATCGTGCCTGGCCCTGGACCTGACAAAACATCCTTCATAGGGGCTAGAAATATTGCTCAGGCATGGTCTATGAAATCAGAATTTGGATGATACAAGTAGCAATATTTTGCAAAGAAAATACTTAATAGAGTGGCTAATTGTTAAGTGTTGTTTTCTAGGGACCACGTGGATAAATGTTTTAGCAATCAGATGTGGCTATTTCAAGAACAGTCTTTCAATCCACCTTTTGTCATATTTCTATCTTGCTAATTATACTCATTTTTTCTATGTCAGCTTATGTACTATATTCTCAAAATATGTGAGTTTTTCTTTCTGATCATTTTGAAAGAGCATTAAGTCTTTATTTGGACCAGGATTGACTGATTCTTGCAGTTCATGGTACTCTTAGTAACTGTCCAAATCCATAATTCAGGGACCTCTGTCTTCTTTGTATGATAATTCAATGTATTAATCGTTAACAGGAATTAAGCTAGAAGGCATTCCTTAGAAATAAAACTACTTAGGGAAGGCTATTTTCTTCTTATGATGCATATTCAACCATTTTTCATTAACATTTATGCCTTGTAAACAATGTTTTTCAGAAATGTGGATTGGTTTTGAGTTGGAAGAGAGTTCAAGGAGCATCTGGGAAACTCCAAGGTATGTGCATTTTCTTTTTATATACAAACACATCTATATATGTATAAATTCATATGTATAAACATACAGGGTTTGGAAATAAATTTTCTCAAATTTATTTATTTGTCATATTTAAGAAGTGCCCATCTCCCTCATAAAGGGACTCTGGGCAGTATACAATAAAATATTAAAAGCATAGAAGACAGTATGTAAAATTTGAAAGAAGCAGGGAAGTTTAAAAATTGATTAAAAGGAGAGGGGAAGGCTTTCAGGCCTTGCTATCAATAGTAGTGAGAAAGATACATAATAGGAGGTCTTAGTTGATAATTGCAGTTGGCTTATTGAATTGTATTTGCACAATGCTATGGTTTTCAGTGGTTGTCTTAGTACCATCAAATTGGTGACTATTTCAGGTACTCTAGTTCATATCTTTATAATCATTATGTTGCAACAACATAAATCACTATGTCATTTTGAAATTTATTAATGCAGTTAATCAGCTATTTTGGGCTTTTACTTAAGAGACAGCAACATAGAATACATGCTCCTAACTTAAAACACTTGAATATATAGGATTGACTAGACATATTTTCTAAATATTTAAAAATGTACTTAATATATTTTATAACACATAAAATAATTTGCATTGAAAAGCAGTCCTGTAATTGTCAATACAGTTATTTGCCTATATGGCTTCTAAATTTATGTTCTAAATTCTCAATTATTTCTAGCTTTTGGATTTTGTGAATATAAAGAACCCGAATCCACACTACGTGCACTGAGATTGCTACATGATCTCCAGATTGGAGAAAAGAAGCTACTTGTTAAAGTTGATGCCAAAACAAAGGCTCAGCTGGATGAATGGAAAGCAAAAAAGAGGGCGTCCAATGGGGTATGTATACAAATTAAGAAATTTATAAATAGAAAATAATTGACAGACATACTTTCCCTATACCTTTTTTAAAAAACTTTGTTTCTGTTAGGTCTTGCATTGAGTTTATGATTCTTTTGTAGATTAAGCTCCACGTACTCCTTTGTTTTCCAGTTTTCATGATCAGGAGTTATAATAAATTCTGTAACATTTGCTAAATGTTATAGATTTTATTTTTTACCTTACAAACGTGAATGTATGTTAGGGATTTATATTTGGAAGCTGTGGGCCACCTTCTCATGTTTAGGCCATTTGAATACGATTGTTGTCCATAGAATTAAAAATACCAGTGCTTTGACATAATTCATTTAGGAAAAAGAGATCACATACATTCTTTGTTTAAGGAATTTAGTTTTACACATGCAGGCTTATCATTCGCTACTGGGCACTGTATCTATATGAAGTATCCAGCCAGCACAATCAGCCAGTCACAATCAAATTGTTAATCTAAATAATAGCCATAATTTTGAGCTTGTGCCATTATGACAAGTCAAGAAATTTTCTGTTTGGAAGTTGTGCGCTGTAGAACAAAGAAAGCTCATAGAGCAAGTCCTTGTTTAGCAACTGCCTTGATAAGTGTCCATTCACAAATTATGTGATAAATGCTAGTTTAAAAATCATTTTCTGATCAATATGTACACTTACAGCCAAATATTTGTGCCTGACAAGAATAAACGCAGGAGAGTAATACTGGCAAAGCTCCATGAGAGAACTTTATCTAAAATGATAGCAGCAACCAAAGATCTTCGCAGCATCTTTCTCAATCAAATGGTTTGCTTAGTGACCATTTTTCTTAGCAACCATTTGCCAGAACCACTTGCAGTTGCTAAATGTGGACCACCTTTATTTTCGTTTCTGTTATCTTTAAAACTCATGCATTTCATGTAATCCTGAATAAAAAAAGATTGATATTTCAATAAGATTTAAAGCCTTTTATTTTTATGAGTTGTCGCATACATTTCTTTTGAAAACTAGAAGAATTAATCAAATTAGTTCTGAATAGCTTTCACTTTACAGAATTATTTTAATGTCACCTCTCCAATACCCTCTATTAATTCTTTTCAAGCTGTTCTTAATATGACAGCTCCTCTGTCAGCTGTAATCCCTTCCCTTCTCCTTCCCTTGCTTCTTAGCTACTGCTGTTTAGTGAGATTTTCCTTTTTCTGTTCTTTGTTTCTTCACTTGGCATTTGACTGGATAAACTGTCTTGGAATTTAAGGTGAGAGTCCCTTTGTTTTCTCTCTAAAGAAAAGTTTTAACAATAGTTTTAAGCTCACCAATCATTTGTTACTGTTTATTTTAAAGATTTTGAAATAGCTTTAAAGAATATTGAATGGGGCACAGTATTTCTTGAAAATTAATATATACATTAATTTAATAAATATGTTTCTCTTCATAATCAGGTTTTGTTTGCTATTAGGATTGCAATCAGTGTTGCAGTGTCATCTTTAGGAATATGAACAAGTGCTGGCGGTTTTATGAGGAATTATTGAAAAAATTAAATTGATTAATTCAGTTTTTTGTATTTGTAATTATTATAAGCAATCTCGTTCAAAATGTTAGAATGTGTTAAATGTTTTAAAAACTAAAATGATGTAAGTTGAAGGAGGAACAGGGGGACAGACTTGTTCCAGTTGTTATAATATATAACTGTCTTGGAAATTATATTTTAGCACTGTTTAGAGACAATATGTAATAGAATACAAATAAATTACATGTACATAAGATCAAATTTATTAATATGTGCTACAATTACACATTATTTGGAAATCAGGTTTTATAGATTTAAAATTACAGCTCGAAGACAGCAAGCCATATGACAAGGTTCATATGAAACCGTTTCTGTAATTTCTGTTTTATTAAAATAGGGTTGGACTATACAGGTAGTCCTCGAGTTAAGATCACAATTGAGCCCAACATTTCAGTTGCTAATCAAGATAGTTGTTAAATGGGTTTTGCCCCATTTTAAGACCTTTTTCGCCACAGTTAAGTGAATCACTGCATTTGTTAAGTTGGTAACGCTTGTTAAGTGAATTTGGCTTCCCCGTTGAGTTTGCTTGTCAGAAAGTTGCAAAAGGTGATCACATGACCCTAGGGCACTGTAACTGTCATAAATATGAGCCAGATGCCAAGAGTCTGAATTTTGATCATGTGACAATGGGAACACTTCAGGGGTCATAAGTGAAAAACACTCATAAGTCATGTTTTCCAATGCCATTGTAACTTCAAATGTTCACTAAATGAATGGTTGTAAATCGAGAACTACCTGTATTAACTTGGATTATCGATATACAGAAATTATATGATTTGCTGCATGTAAAGGTTAAGCAAATGCATGCCACTTAATCTTTTTTTCTGAGTGTATACTTTATAGGGCACAAGTTTAATTAAAAGTGTTTTTGCAAAGTTTCACTATGCATGTTTTCTGTGAGGAGGGAAGATAAAAAGCAGCATCTCTCACAGTCAAGCTGCAAATTTAATAAGATCATCTGAGTAGATGTGCAGCACTGCCATTAATTTCTCAGTTTTGATATTGTGAGGAATCTAGGACTTGTTTTGCAGCTGTGTGGAAAAGCAGCTGAAGAATGTTAGGTTTTCATGCCCAGTTATTAATAACTCTTCCTTTACCCTTTGCTGCCTCGCTCACCAAAGACCACTGATGCAGTTTTTGGCAGTGGCATCTAAGGGTACATGACTCATTTACCTTTCCACAGGAAAACCTTGGGATAGCACCATCCATCCCATAAAAGCCCTACATCTGACTTTTCATAAAGGAAAAGCCAGCACATGAGATTGATAGATAGGGGCATGGTAACTATGTTTTCAGTAATTCCAGCAGATATTGTTTCATTCATGCTCATTGCTTGATAGTTTTGATGCAATACAGGTAGTCCTCAAGTTACGACCACAAATAAGCTCAAAATTCATGTTGCTAAATGAAACTTTTGTTAAATGAGTTTGCCCCACTTTACAATTTTTCTTGCCACAGTTGTTAAGTGAATCATCATGTTTGTTAAGTTAGTAACATGGTTGTTAAATTAATCTGGATTCCCCATTGATTTTGCTTGTCAGAAGGTCACAAAAGCTGATCACATGACCCCAAGACACTGCGTAAATATGAACCAGTTGCCAAACATTTGAATTTTGATCATATGACCATGGGGATGCTGCAATGCTTGTAGGTGTGAATAGCAGTAATCAGTAACTTTTTTCAGTGCCATTGTAACTTTGAATGGTCACTAAATGAACTGTTTGCAAGTCGAAGACTACCTGTAATGATAATGATTATGTTGCCTTAGCTGTGTAGGGGAATTAAGAGGGTAAAAATAGAAAAGTTTGTTTGTTTGTCATTTCCATTATGACATTATTTGTTTGTATTGTTTCTTAGAACTCCAGGCCAGAATCTGCAGCCGATGATGATGAAGCCCTGGATGAAGAAGCAAAGAGAAGAGACCAGCTAATTAAAGGGGCAATTGAAGTGTTAATTCGGGAATATTCCAGCGAGCTCAATGCCCCCTCTCAAGAGTCTGATTCTCATCCCAGGAAGAAGAAAAAGGAAAAGAAGGAGGACGTATGTGTTTTGATTTTGGACACAAACAGATTTTCTTCATCTCTCCTTATAATAAGGGCCAAACCTTGTGCCATACATTAGCTCAAAGCATCTGATGAAACCACAAATCAACAAGCCTTGATGTTAGCAGCACTTACATGTTTCATTCTGAAATTAAATCAGTTCTAAATGCCAAACCTGTGGATGATGTAGGTGTGTATACACAAGGGTTGAATGCCCAGACTTGGAGCTGCAGGTTTGATTCAGCCTTTCATCCCTTCAAAATTCATTTATTGAAATCATTGATGATTGTTTTTATTGTGGAGAGGTCTTTTGACATCTTAAACGTAAAAGTCCTGCCTATTAACATTTGTTATTTAAAAGCCCAAAAGCTCTGGGCCATAGGGGTTCACATTGATGTCATAATCACAACGTACCTTCTTTGATGTCCTGTTTTGATTGTTTGTGCACATAAGTGAGAAGCTGTTTGTTATTCTTGGGGGAAAGCTATACTGTTATAAAATGGTTTATTATTTGGCAATTAAGCCATTTGACTTCCAGATTTTTTAAGTGTTAACGTATGGCACGGAATGCCATATTCCACCTTCTGTGGGAAAACCTAGTCATAATTGGACTAAAAATAAAATTCATTCTGGGAGAAAGTATTTTGCAAATACTTGCATGCTTGACTAACTGAGTCACAACTGATGGGATTTTGGCTTGAATTTGCAGCCCTCCTGCTAAATGTAATTTTCTTTTACCACTATTGGATTTGAAATCAGTACCAAAAAACAATCAGAGTTGTTACACATTTTCCTCTTGCTTTCCTTTTATGTTTAGTTTTCAGTTAATCTGAGTAAGCCTTGTGCTGAAGTTTTGGTTTATCTTAGTTCATTAAAGATGCTCATTCCCCTAAGATTCAGCCACATGGTGGATGAATTTCTGAATATACAGCAACTCTTATAATGGTACTGAAAAAGATAAGTGTTAATAAAAAATATTTCTTATTAGCCCACTTTACATTAATTGAATTTCCTAATGTTTAGATTAGGATTATTTCAAATTGCACATTGCTTACAACTTTAAATAGAGTGTGCTGTGTTCTTTTCACCTGTTGAGAAGATGGAAGTGCATCTTTCTCCCTTAGCAAGTGGAACTAAAGCTCTGTATATGTTGGGGGAGAAAAGAAATTGAGGTGTATGCCATATAAAGTTGGGTTAGAGGCACTTTTGTCTCCTTTATTGAATGCTTATGGTCACATTTGGTTCCCTTGCCCATTCTGTGGTTGAAAAGATGAGATGAGGGATAATGTGGGAGAATAATATGAGTGTGGGGAAACAAATGGCAAATCAAATCTGACTCTTGATTTCAGATCTGGGGAACCTCGCTAATTTGCAGTAACTTGGGAACCCCCTTGAGATCATTAAATTTTGCGAATTAGCGAGTAAAGTACCAAATCAAGCTTAAAATATTGCAAAAGGCACTGGCCACTTGTAAACGAGCATAGTTTAGTTTGCAAGATTTCTTCAGTATGAAAATACTAAAATTGTATGCTACAATTTTAAATGGAGAAGTACTGGGTGAGGTGGCACCCAAAAACCTTTGCTGAAAAGTAGATCAGTAAAAGGAGAATTAGCGAGGTTCTTCGTAATTTTGCTGAGTCAGACCAAAATTCACAGCAATACAATATTGCTTGTTCTACCAACATACGGAACATTGTTTTTTTTTCCAGAGTAGTGTGCAATCTATTTTTTAAAAAAAAAATCTCCGTGGATTTTTCCGCAGATTTTCCGCAGATTTCCAGTGGCCCCACTGATACCTTATCCACTCATCACCAAGGTTCGTTTACATTGTAGGCTTTGACAATGACTATGTTTACTGCTAGTTACCAGATTTGTGACTCGTGTCCATCTAATTTTTTTTTCATTCATTTAACATCAGACTGTGAGGTTTGGTACTGCAGAAGCCCTTTATTTATCTCTTAGAAGACTGGTACAAAACGTCTAACCTTCAGTTTTTCTTTTGGTTCTCCCATTCCTTTGTGCATGGATTTTAATATTTTATTTCTTGTTCTGTCCCCCACCTCTTTTTTTTTCCTTTACAGGAGGATATAAATGCTATAGAAATGGAAGAAGATAAAAGGGACCTGATATCCCGAGAGATTAGTAAATTCAGAGATACACACAAGGTAATATACTTTTTGCAGCTTATGCAAAATTAGGTTATTGTAAAACCCAGTTTCAATTCCCTCACCCTTTAGAAAATTTGCAAGGACATTACATATCATTTGTTCATCTTTATAGCAGGAATAATGTCTATCTAAACATTCTCACTGCAGTGGTCTAATATTTTAGTTAGTTATTCATATTACTTACTGCATTGCAATCGTCTCTCTTAACACAAATACATTTTTTTAAAATTACCCTTCTACTCTGCTTGTTTTAAAATTAACCCAAAGTGGCTAAAATAACACATAAGACCAAATAACTAAATTGGGCTGCCCTTTGAAATACATTTTGATTCCCATAATAGTCAGGTAATTGTAAAACATAATTCATACTCACTGTATTACTAAGCCCTATTGCTTAGTTTAAATTTAAGATTAAATTTAGCAGCTGAATTGAGAATGGGGGTGAAATAAATTAGGTATTATTTATCAGACTTTACCAAAATTTAGATGCATGGAAGAACTGTAAATTCCCATAAAGCTAATCTATTCATTGACCCCCACCATTATGATAGAGATCATATGGTGACTAATGCAAGATGAAAAACACAGCTTGGAAAGTAACATGGAATAGGATGTAAGTATGAGCTTCTGTTTTTTTATTATTTATGGATGCCCCCTCAGAAAAATATGCAAAGGGGTAACTGGCTTGGAAATATGTTTGCACAGCAAATTCTACCTCAGGATTCCCACCTAGAGAAGTTTCTAATAATGTGAATTTATTAATGTGTTCTGGTTGGGGAGGGTTGTGGCAAGGGTGGAGAAGTGCAATCTATGCATGCAGTGTATATCTTGATGTTTAGTTTTCATGGAATAATAACTGTGCATAAAGGCTGGATTACTCCATGCCAGCAAATATGTTCACTCCTGACTCTGTTTGCTAATAACATTGAACGGTATTAAGGTACAAAATGGTAATGTACATTCTGGTTACAGGTCATGCTTATTTGCATTTCTAACTTTTTAAGTACAAAATAGTTATATGTTGTTGGCAATGCACAATATTCCAGTATTACTTGGGAATGAGAACCTGAGGATAAGTATTCCGAAGATGTGTGAAACTGGTCATAGTGAAATATGGTCTTATTTTCAAGCCCCAACAAGTAACTAAAATGCAATTAAATGATGTGGTGCAAAAGCAAAATATGCTTCCTGTTTCAGAAGCAATTGGGCATATTTATTGCCTGCGATCTATCTTATTGGAAAATATTTTTAATTTACTTTTTGAAATAGATGAAATTAATTGTAATATAAAATGGCCATTTTATATATTGGGTGGGATGATTAAAAAGGGGCTGGCTAGCGAGCACAGTGAACCTTTGCATGTTTTTTGGTTAGAGTTTACAAAATAATAATCAGACTGTAAGGGTGTCAGCATTGCAGGGGGCGTCCATTTACAGCACAGATGAGTCTGAAGAGAACTTAAGGTAAGATTTTATTATTATTCTGTCTGTACTCTTTGCTCATTACTTCAGCATATCTTTAATTCTTTCTCCATTTCATTTTTACCCCCTTATTTTTTTGTTTACATGGAAGCAGCCTATTCAAATTTGTATGAAATAGCTCTGTTGATCTGGCATCTTAAAGGCCATCATTTAAAGTTGCTCTTTTTCGTAAGAGCATCTTAAGTTCAGATAAATTTTGATGATGATTTTTATTACAACCAGCAACATAACCAATAGCATTTTATTGGAACAACTAAAATAATCTAAAATATTGGAACAGCTAAAAATAAAGTAAGTATTGCCCATTCCAGTATCTAAACTTTTCTGTAAAAGTATACAAAATTGGAGGTAAGTTCTATGATACAGCATATATAAATATGCCCTAATTGATGAAATTATATGAGAGCACTTCATTTAGAAATTAGATTGTAATGTTCCCACATGTTGTGCACTTTCATCTTTCCCTCCTTACAATGGCTGTTTTCTATCGTTCTTAAATATCCTTTCCTTTGTGAGTTCAATGTATCTAACACCATTTTGCCAGCATTTTATGTTTAATACTATGTAGCATCATGGTTAGATATATTGATCTCTTGTTTCTTAGTTATATTACTATGATCTTGTTTGGGTTCTCTGGTCCATGAGTGTGCCCAGAACACTATCTGACAGGTAAGATTTTTTTACAAATTGTCTTAAATTATTTGTTGAAAGAGAGAAATATGTGCACATTTTGTTGTCCTATTTTATATGGTATTTTGCTGATGGTAAAATTGATGCCAAAAGGAATGAATTTGCTCTTTCCGTTTTTTAAAATGCATCAGTTACACATAGGGTGTGATCCTTCCTTATACTAGTGCTGGGTCCCTGTACAGAGGGCTCTCCAGAATGAATAGTAAAGTTCAGTTACTCTTGAGCCAGGCCATTTCTCAGAATGGGAAATTTATATATTCCTCTTATCTTCTCATCTATTTTCTTCAGTTGTTCAGAGAATACACATTGAATATTTCCATTAAGGGCAGACAGGATGGAGATATGAGAGCTATATACAAGCCTTCCATTCTGAAAATAGCTTGTACGTTAAATGTGTGTACCAAGGAGAGAACAAGTGGGAAAAGGATACTGTTATGCTCTATGGCACTGGTGTCAAACTCATTGTTACCATCTCGTGGCGTTACATGACATTTTTCCCATTCACTGGGCTGGGACAGGTGTGGCCTGCGTGTGACACATCGGACCCACAGGCTGCCAGTTTGACACCCCTGCTCTGTGGCATCCCTCTAGGCACAACACTTGCACAAGGAAGAATCATGCCCATAAAGTTCCGGCATCCATCAGGCTGATAATTGGCTTGTGATTTTTTTTTTTTTTGGTTTACTTGTGAACCATGTACTTGCTCTTCCTCCCAGAAATATAGCTTGTAGGCAAGGTTAATCCAGTGTTGGCGGTCCATGTCCTAGCACAGCACCTGTAAGTTAACCCACACCAATTGCTTCCAAGGATGGATTTATCTATTAATGAGATTTAATTTTTCTGTTGTCTTCATGGGTGTCTTAGTAGCAGTGATGACTTTTTCAATAAAGAAATGTACTTTTATAGAAATTCAGTAACACAGTTTTTTTAATCTCGTGATTTCCAACCTTTTCCTTCCTGCAGACCCTTTGAATGAGAATCATATGAGTGATTTTTTTTAAAAAACACAGTATAAGTATTGTGAATATAAAGATGTTTGGACCCATACAGTCATATACTCCCTTATGAAATTAGAAAGTGCTTTATTCTCCAAGTTTAGAGAGAATAAACTTAAATTTGACTAGATGTGATATAATCAACTATTAAGCTTCTGTTAATATCACTAAATTGTCGATATGAATTGGATGAATTTTGCTACGTAAAAATTTAATCTTGTTTAGGGTCAAAGTATTTTTCATTCTCTGAACTATTATAGGCAATGCATTCATGTAATAATCAGTACGGAGGAGACAAGCATTGCTTTTCTATTCAAGGTTGGAGATTGCTGGCCTGCTAGGTAAATAACTTGCACGAAAATCTATGTTATGAATGCGAAACTTTGTTTTCATCCATATGAATTGAAAGCAAACTATATAAGTGTTGAATTATCAGTGATCTTGATTTTCTTGTTACCAGATTTTGGTATTGTGGGGTGGGGCTTCCGAATCTAGCTACAAACTAACTTGGAAAATCCTTTTGGTTTCTAGAAATTGGAGGAGGAAAAAGGCAAAAAAGAGAAAGAAAGACAAGAAATTGAAAAAGAACGGCGTGAAAGAGAGAGGGAACGGGAACGCGAAAGAGAAAGAAGGGAGCGTGAAAGAGAGAGGGAGAGGGAGCGTGAACGAGAGAAGGAGAAGGAACGGGAGCGGGAGCGGGATAGAGATCGAGATCGCACTAAAGACAGAGACCGGGACAGGGAAAGAGATCGAGACCGAGACCGTGAAAGAAGCTCAGACCGGAATAAAGATCGGAGCAGATCTAGGTAAATTTTGCACTATAATAATGACTTAATAATTTGGTAATGTTTCTTTTTTAAAGCTATTCAAAGATTTGCCCAATCTCTACCTTTTTGCTGAAAAATGGAAAAGAAATAATGAAAACGCTGGCCACTACCTGATTTCTTTAAAGAGGAGAATGGATGGGGAATCCTACCACTTTGCGTAGGAAAAGATTTTGTACACCCACAAAAATAGTGTGGGTGTACAAAACCATAATTCGATTTAATTAAGTTACATCTTACATGTAATTAAAATATAGCTAATTGGGTTATTGTCTGTTATGTATTTAATAAGTTTCTACTCCTGTCATATTAAAAATTACAGTTATAGCTCTTTATCGATTTCAACTTGGAGCTTTAGGTTCTGCTTTGTAACTTCTTTAGATTCTAAATTGACTTATGGCTTTACAGTTCCAAACCGCATTGCTTCTCATGATCTGTTTATGTTGACAGTTCACAGCTATTTCCCCCTAAATTTAACTCTTTCTTCCTTAAATCTTCTTTCTCCTAATTCTTCTGATGATCTGTTCCTAGTAGTCTGATATGTCTATCATCTGTGTCCCCCTTTGATTCAATTTTCTTTCCAACTCACAGTTGATTGGTGATGTAATTTGGGAACTTCCTCTTAATTGGTTTTTAGCCTGGCTATTTCAATCATCCGTAAGCCCATGCAGAGACAAATGCCCAAAGTACTAGTTAACTGGGATATTCATTGACTGAAGCCTCCAAACCTGAGAGAGAATATAAAACTGTTCAGCAAGTATGTCTCTCCTCAACAGTTTTCTCTCTGAATTCACACTCGAACCTCTTATTTAACCTAAAATATTTCCATTAAATATTAACTCTAAAAGGTGAAAATGCTACAGTTTGTGTGATCCTGTGGTATGTATAGCGGGGTTTAATAGAATTTCTTTTTGGTTACAGGGCTCTCTAAATTATTAAATATGATATTTAGTGCTACTTTGGGGGTATTTTGAGTGTAAATGAATTAATCAGGCCCAAGTATTCCTTCGTTGCTGTGTTTTCTACAGAGAGAAAAGCAGAGACAGAGAGAGAGAACGTGAAAGAGAACGGGAGAGAGAGCGGGAGAGAGAGCGGGAGAGGGAAAGAGAACGGGAGCGGGAACGAGAAAAGGACAAGAAAAGAGATCGAGAAGAAGATGAAGAAGATGCCTACGAACGGCGCAAACTGGAAAGGAAACTACGGGAAAAGGAAGCAGCTTATCAAGAGGTATTTACAAAAGTTGCTAAAAAGTTCCTAATTCAAATGGAAGGAGGGCTTGCAGAATATAATACCAATATCTCATGATACCTGTTTTCTGGGGTAATACTCCTTTTCAATGGGGAAACTCCACTTGAACATTAGATATCATTTATATTCAGACCTATATATTAGATATCATCCAATATCATTTCCCTTGAATGAATTTCTGTATAATTCCTGCATATGCTCTCAATATTTTTGTAACAATTTACAATCTGTCAATATTCTTGTAATAATTACATTCTTTTTCTGCTGGAATACAAAGCTGAGAATGAAACATAATTGTTTTGTTTAAATTAATTAAATTAAATTAATGAAATATGGAACTATTTTTCAATTCCTGGGTGAACGGTGAAATAATGAAAAAGTTATGTGGTTTCAGCGTCTTAAAAACTGGGAAATCAGAGAACGGAAGAAAGCTAGAGAATATGAAAAAGAAGCTGAGAGGGAAGAAGAAAGAAGACGGGAGATGGTAAGGCATTTATTACATTACCAGTGTTCTTATTAGATATTAAAACACAGGATTTCTTTGCTGGGTATGAAAATATTATAGTGAATGTTTCATTTGTCTAAGGCAGCAATGTCATAAATATATTAGGAGTTTTTAAGTATATATGGAATTAAAAGCTTTACTTGAGTATCAGTATGCACATATATTTATTTAGGCTTTACAATATGAGCTTTGGAAAAGGCTCACAAATATCAGTCTATTCAAAATTGTGGGCAGTTTTTGGACTCTTAATACTTTCAGGGCATCTAGAGCAGGGCTGTCAAACTCCTGGGCTGCAGGCTGGATGTGTCAAGCACTGGTCACACCCATACCCGGTTTAGCGAAGGGGGAAAATATCATGTGATGCTGCTGTGACGACATGAGTTTGACACCCCTGATCTGGAGTATTTCCTATTGCTTCATAGAAAACAAACAAATCTTCCCTAGTACACTTAAATTGACCCTTTCCAGGGAACAACCTTCTAGAGCAGCTGTTGCCAACCAGTGGGCCATGGAAAAATTTTGGTGGGCCGCAGAAGAAATGGCCTCCCAAAGCAGTTAATCTGGGCCGCACAGTTCTCGCACCTCCCAGCTCTTTGAGGGACCCCGGAGTCAGGCACTTGCCAACCAGCTCAGGTGGCGGCGGCGGCGGCAACAACAGTCCCCACCCCAGCGCCCACTGTCAGCTCTTCCCCGTTAGTTCTCTAGTTTTGACTTGCTTCTCTTCCCCCCCTCCCCCATGCCCACATGCAGACAGGCAAGGAAAGGAGACGGAGCTGTGCGCAGCTCCCAGCTCTTTCAGCCCTCGCTGTCTCCCCAAACATCAAATCCTGGGAGATGCAGGCAAAGCCGCCACAGCGGTAGCACCCTGAGTTGCTTTAGCATGCTCGGTTAGTTAAGACTTGCCCTACCCAGAGAAGGAGGTGCTGGAAGAGGAAGAGGAGGCAGTAGTGGAGAAGCAAGCAATTCAGGGCGCTACCGCTGTGGCGGCTGTGCCTGCATCTCCGAGGCTTCCAATGTTGGGAGAGTCAGTGAGGGCTGGAAGAGCTGAGAGCTCCGTCTCCCTTGCCTGCCTGCATGTGAGGGGGAGGGGGAAGGAAAGAGGCGGGAGCAATTCAAAGCTAGAGAACTAATGGGGAAGAGCTGACAGCAGGTGCTGGGAGAGGGGACTGTTGTTACCACTACCCTGCCACCGTGTGTGGGAGCTGCTTGGCGTGTGCATCTCAGAGACCTGCCTCTGGGGTCCCTCAGAGAGCTGGGAGGCGTGAGAACTGCAAGTGGGAGCGTTTGGTGATTTCAAAGAACTCCTGGAATGCAGTAGATTGGTGTTTTGTAGGTCTTGGTGAAAGAGTGAGCTTTGTTTCACCTCCTTTCCTCCCCTGGTAATGCAAGAGATATTCTCACATACATACATACATACATACATACATAAAAAAATTTATATTAAATATATTAGCTTTTTAAAAACATTTGTATTAGTGGTCCTTGGGATTTAAAAGTATGAGTTTGGTGGTCCCTGAGGTCCAAAGGGTTGCCGACCCCTGTTCTAGAGAACAAAAGAATGTGGATCATTTTAGTTTGCACCTGAGTATTGCTTTAATCTATCCTTTCCCAACTTAATCCTCTCTAGATATGCTGGATGAGAGTTCCCATTAACTGCAGCGAGGATAATCATTGCCTATAGAGGCTGATTATAATCCAGCTATTGTCTTACATAGCTGAAGAATGCCAGGCTGAAGAAGGCAGCCTTATACGTTTGTCATCTTTTGCAGTGATTGCATATAATCTGATTAGTCCAAAAAAACGTTTTCTATATGATCAGTTTAAGATTGAAGGTATTACATAGCTTCCACTTGCATTTTTTCCTCATTCTTGCTGTCCCTTATGGTTAATTTAAAATTTGAGAAAGTATTCTGTAGAATCCTTACTGTGTTGTATCTTTGACTTTATCCTAAGAAAAATGTGTAGTATTCCTCTTTATTTTTAGTAGGTATCTAAAATAATCTTTCTAAATAACATGTTAAAGGTGAAAGCATTATTTTTTTCAGTTGGCCTATAACCAGTGTTGAGAAACCTTTTTGGAACCAAGTGCCAAAACGGGAGTGTGCATTCAGGGGAGCACCGGAAACCGGAAGAGCAACTCCCCAGTGCACGCCAGAAAGCTGAGCTTCCGGTTTCCCGCACATTGCATGTGTGCTGTCCACCTGATCTTCTGATTTCTGGCACACATGCCAGAAAGGAGAGCAGCAGGCAATGGCTGGTGTACCCGGAGAGATGGCTCTGCATGCCATTTCCGGCAGGCGTGCCATAGGTTCGCCATCACGGGCCTATACCTACAAAAATAATTTGTTACCATAAATCTGGTAACATAAGGCTATAGATGTAGATGGTGAATTTTTGTGGAATTTATCATGTTGATACACAAAAAAGTATCAATTATTAGAAGTAATCAGGTACTAAGGAAACAATGTATTCACTTTTCATAGGCAAAAGAAGCTAAACGTCTTAAAGAATTTCTAGAAGATTATGATGATGACAGAGATGATCCCAAATATTACAGGTAATTTAATGAGGACTATTATCCTCATTAGTTTGTATTGGTAAATCAAGGGACCTAATGGTGAATTGTCCCTGAAATACTATAGGTTTTGCTGTTCCATTTGAAAATGGGTATATTATTTAATAGATTTATAACAATCTTTAAATGCATTTGTTTCTCTTGCCACTAATCAGCCTTTTAAAAAGGTATAATTGTTTAATTTGATGTCAGTATAATCTTAACTGATTTTAGGGTAATCAACTGAAGTGGGAATTTTAGTTGTAAGTTGTTGCAGTCGGTCAAGGCACCATGTGACCAAATTTGATTTTATGTCAGTTTTTACAATGGTCATAAAGTGGGTCACTGCAGTCATTAATGTGACCACAGTGAGTGGGGCAATCATAACTTTGAGGATGTTTTATTTTAAGTTCATTGTAACTTTGGTCATAAGTCGAGGAGTACCTGTAGAAAGAAATAATTCCTTCAAAATTACAGATAAAGGTAAATTTTGACTTACCATCATTCATCCAAAGACTCTTCAAAGTTATGATGAAGCCGAACAAAGTGTGGTTATGATTAGTCCTTGGAGTTCTGTACATCCCACTACTACCGTGGTCATATGATTGTGATCTTGGCACTTGGCAACTGGCTCACACTTAAGATCGGTTTATACCCCACAGTCATGTGATTGCCATTTGCCACTTTCCCTACTGGCTTCCCTAGAAAGTCAAGGGGATGCCCAAAGGGAAAGTTGCAAGTTACTGAGGTAAGTTTCCCCAAACTGTACAGTTTCCCCCAGCCCCAGTTTGTGCCATACTGGCCTCAGGCATCCCATGCACCCCAAGTCTCACTGTACCTCCCTTGTGCACCTTCCCTGGGCTTTGCTGCACCACCCTTACATATCCCTCATACTCTCCCCGATCCCCATTGCACAACCCTTGGACTAGCCCTTTGCTAGGCAGCTGCTGGCCATGCCAGACCTTCTTCCTGAGGAGACATTTGTCCCTTGTCTTTTTGAAAGGCTTCTGCCTCAGCTGCAGCAGGAAGAAGAGAGTAAAAGTCAGCTAAAGGCAAGAGCTACAGGGTGGTGAGAATAAAAGGGCCAGCGAGCACAGGGTAGCAAGGCCGGCAGAGATCATATTGTTTAGCAACAGAAATTCCAATCCCAATTGCCATCATCACTCAAGGACTACCTGTAGAGATTAAAGATGAAATTTTATAATGAAAGATTCAGCATCATTGTCTTCACAGCCATATACTGCCTTCAAAATCAGAGATCGTTAAATAACTGTTGCTGTCTTCTCAAAGTTTCATTTGGGAAATTTTCTGCTTCATCACTATGTCAGTCACCAGATTTACATTTTACACTAAGCCAACATTTGTCTACATTATGTGAAGTAAAATATAATTGATTAGTACACTTCCATAAACTTTATAAACCAGGGCACATAATACTTGAATAAGTAAACTTTTTGACCTGATCAAACAGCACTCTTAATCCAGATTCTGAATAGAGGAGTTACATGCATTCTTTTGAGAAATATTAATGGAGGTGGTTGGAATTGCATGAATTTGTAAATCAAAATGAATGTGCTGTATGTTTCAGGGGAAGTGCTCTGCAGAAGCGATTGCGAGACAGAGAAAAGGAAATGGAAGCGGATGAACGGGATCGAAAGAGAGAAAAGGAAGAATTAGAAGAAATCAGGCAACGTCTTCTTGCAGAAGGACATCCAGATCCTGATGCAGAGTTACAGAGGGTAAGAAAGTTTTTTGAATTAAGAATACATATTGGATTCCATATATTTGTAGACAATAGCATGTTGGTACACTGCATATATACCTCATACTTGTTGGGATGTACAAAGTGATATGTACAAAATCACTTTGATTTTCAAAGTGCTCTATAGATTAGACCAGGGGTATCAAACTCTTGTCATCATGGCAACATCACGTGACATATTGGGACTCTTCCCCTTTGCTAAACTGGGAGGGGCCGTGGCCAGCATGTAATACATCTGGCCCACAGGCCGCAAGCTTGACAGCCCTGGATTAGACCATTCAAGCTGACCCGCCTTCCCATCCTCTCAGCAGAGCAGAGAGATTGGCGGGGAAGGGATTTCAGGAGAGTAAGCCGTTTGCTCTTGTACCCATCAATAGCAATGTGGTTGCACTGGCAGCAGGAAAGGGTCAACAAAGGAGAGATTGTGTATAAAAATGAAATATTTCATTCTTCCTCAAGGAAAAAGCAGTCCAGTTGCCTTTTGAAAAAGCACCTTTGAGACAACTATGGCCTGGATGACTGAGAATCTCTGCAGACAGTTAAGAGGCAAACAAAAACTAAAAGCATGAAACTGAGTAGTCTCTTTCAACCCATAACGCATAGTCATAATCATGTGATTTTCCACTTGGCGACTTAGCAGTAGAGTTGCCAGTCCAAATTAGAATTGTTCAGTGACCTGTCTTAGCAATTTTGAAATCTTTCTGGATCTGTTCTACATATATTTCTGACAAATCTGCATATCTTTCCGGGCGGGAGGAGGGTGTCTTATCTTCTAATTTAATTATTGAAAGTTACTATTTTTTCAAGGAGTTCATGATATGAGCACCTCTAGTTAGCACCAGGTTTTCATTTTGCTGACTGAATGTAACTTTTCCATCTTTGACCTTTCCATGTTTTATATGGTTAATCCGACTTTGATGTTGTCTGTGTAGTTCATGTGTTTAGAGTTGTCTTTTGCAATATTGAACAAGATATTTGCTGTTAATATTGAAATTGATATTGAAACTGAATATTTGTAGCTCAGGGTTGAGATGAGCGTTCTCCGAGCTTGCTTGTTTTCTTACAGAAGTTTCATTGCCCAAACTAGGTAACATCATCAGTACATATTGAATATTGTGTAATATAGTAAGAGTAATATTACAGTGCCTCTCTCTGAGGGAGATATGTGGTTTAGAAATAGGAAATATAAATAAACAAAAACAAAGCATTGTAATAGTGTAACATTGAGGTTTCTTATCATAACTTTATTAGCTTGATTTCTGTTTCATTTCATACATTGAGGCTTTGCAACATTTCCAATCCTTGATTTTATTTCTAGTTTTAGCCTTTCAGTCTTCAGTAATTGATGTCCTTTTTTGGTGGAGAGGTTGCCTTAGCAAAGGATTTGCAAGTGTAGTCCATGTCCTCTGCATCTGTAGTGGGAAGGAGCATATACTTGAATCACTGCTATACTGATTACCTGCCTTGGCCTGAGATAATTTTTTTGAAGGGTGGCACTGACATTCACCCTTTTGTTAATAATAATAATAATGGGTACTCAATTTCTCTAAATGTATCACAATAGGGGAGACTGGGAAAATAGAGAAACCATGGTGCTGATATTAACAGATCAACTGCTGCTTCTTTTCCATTATAACTGGTAAAGAAAAAGGCCTTTCCTGTCTTCTTGTTCCTTTTTTAAATCATTCTCTTGCATTTATATTCTATAGATGGAACAAGAAGCTGAAAGACGTCGGCAGCCACAGACCAAACAAGAACCAGAATCTGAGGAGGAGGAGGAGGAAAAGCAAGAAAAGGAAGAAAAGCGGGAAGAACCTGAAGAAGAAGAGGAAGAGCCAGAGCAAAAACCTTGCCTTAAGCCAACACTGCGACCCATCAGTTCAGCTCCATCTGTTTCATCAGCAAGTGGCAACGCAACTCCCAATACTCCTGGGGACGAATCTCCCTGTGGCATCATCATCCCACATGAAAACTCTCCTGATCAGCAGCAGCCAGAGGAATACAGGCCTAAAATAGGACTGAGCCTCAAATTGGGTAAGATTTTTGTTTTCACACCTTGGCATCTTTCTAAAAATGGGAAGAAAAGCTTCACTTAAGTATTGCAATAACTGGCTTCTTCACAAATTCTGCTTCCCCCTTTCCTTTGTTAAAAAAAATATCCATGTCCTTTTGCTTTTAATTATGCCATCCTTACCTTGATTCTGACAAAATCCTGAGAGGAATTTGTATTACATGAGAGATAAATATTTTTCTTTTATGTTACTGTAGGTGCCTGCAATAGTCCCAACCAGCCTAATGCTGTGAAAAGAAAAAAACTCACCGTTGACAGTGTCTTCAATAAATTTGAAGATGAAGACAGTGATGACATGCCCCGAAAAAGGAAACTGGTGCCTCTAGATTATGGCGATGAAGACAAAAGTTCCTCCAAAGGCAGCGTGAATACTGAAGAGAAGCGCAAACACATTAAGAGTTTGATTGAAAAAATTCCTACAGCCAAACCAGAGCTATTTGCTTATCCTCTTGACTGGTCTATTGTGGATTCAGTGAGTATTTTGACCAACATCCCCCTCCCCATTAATCTAACATTCAAGAGCTCAGTATAACAGTTTGTCATCTCTCATTTGGGCCAATATCTCAAAGCAAACATTTGATGTCACCAAAGGAGCGTCCTACTCTCTTTCCAGAGTACAGGGTAAAAAATGAGGGGTCCTTGGTGCTCTCTGTTTGGCTGCTTACTTGCAACCATTTCATTACCCAAACTAGGTAACATCATCAGTGCACATGATATTACCTAGAAATGTTATGAACCATATTATAATCTTGTGAATCTTGATCCATTGCTCCAAGATGCAGTGAATCAGGGTTTCACGATATACAAACCGGGAAGCACTGTCAATAGTTGGATACCTCCTGGTGACTTGATATCTGTGTGAGTCTGTTAAATATAGCTTTTTTTTCCTATGTGAGTCACTGACTCATTTTTTATTATAGCAGCATATAATACATTTAATAAATAAAATTTTAAAAGTAGAACAATATAAAAAAGAGAAAAATACTATGTGGCTGGAAGATAGACATATAAACCAAAAAAAACCCATCCAACAGGGGGTTCTATCCTCAATTTTTCTCAAGCCTGGGAGAATGATTAGGTTTTAAGTAGTTTCCTGAACATTCCCAGAGTGAGAGCCATTCAGATCTCTGGGAGGACCATTCCAGAGGGCAGACATTTTGACGGGAAAAAAACATACATTTTAATTTAAAGTTTAAATTAAAGATTGCATTTCTATTTGAAGATCATATTCCATTTAAAAGTCTATTAGTGTATGTATGACTCTCAAAAAAGGATAAAAGTAACTCGTGGTACAGATTTTTTTTTAAAAAAACCACTTGTGTTTATTCTAGACATTAATGGAAAGGCGAATTAGACCATGGATCAACAAGAAAATAATAGAATATATTGGTGAAGAAGAAGCTACATTAGTTGATTTTGTTTGCTCAAAGGTAAGCTTACTTTTCTATACATGTGAAGTTGTGTGTTTCTGTATATGAATCTTCTGTGTATATAAAATGGCTGTTCTCAGTTAGTATGTGCCTGAACTAAAGCGTGCCTATTTTGGGTGTTGACCAAAATGGAGTTCTGCAGGCAGAAGCAGAAGAGGAGAAAGAGGGACAAAGTCAAGAGCAACTGTGATGGCAAGAGAGGGAAGGGCAAGACTGGTACTGATTACAGCCTCCCTTCAGCAGCTTCCAGGATAGTCTGTTTGACCAACCAGCTTACCTACCACAGGGCCTGTTTCAGAATGTGTTCTCCAATGTTGGCTGCACTGCACATCTGAAAGCCGACATTTGAATGAAATTTCCAAATATTTATCAGTAATTATATTTAAAATAATGCAAATACCGTATCAAATGGTAAAAACAGCTTGACAAACAAACTATCCAGAAGAATTGTGAGTTTCCTTTCACTGAAGGTGGTCAAATAGATGTTGGACTTGTAAAGTATTGAGGATACTTTAATTTGGATTCCTGCATTGACCAAGGGATGGACTCTACGATCTCAAAGCCTACATGTTTGCATTTATTGTATGCAAAAAAAAAAAAAAATGGATCTTGGTAGCAATCGAAAAGTTCACTGCAAAAGAGAGAGAGAGAGAGAGACAGAAAAAGGAAGCTAGATTTCTGTAAATACAGGCAAGTATGTCTTCTGCAGTGTGCAAAAGATATTGGTATGCAAACATGTAAATGCTTAGCCTAGTTATACGGGTAATGCATATCTAAAATTACTTGGTATCAAATGCCACTGAAGTTATACACACAAGTACTAATAATAAATATTATAGCAAGAATTTAAATTAAGGATCCACTGAGCCTGATTGTTCCAATGTTGGAAGTAAAAGTCAAGAATACATTAATAAACATTGAAATGCCTGTTAAAAATTACATTTAATAATTAGCATTTTGTCTGTCATACTCAGCGTGGAATATTTGCTAGAGTGCATCTGGAGAAAAACATTTTACTTGAAATCAAAAATGAGACTTGAAAAAGATTTAAGATCATTTGTTATCTTGAGTTTATCTGTTATACTAATAACAATTCCAAGTCTCATGTGCTTCCATTTTTCAAACTGTTTTAAATGTGAATACAATTTCTATGTATCTCTCTTTCAGGTTATGGCTCATAGTTCACCACAAAGCATCCTGGATGATGTTGCTATGGTAAGTAAAAGCAAGAATTTACCAGTGTAAACTTGGGTAATACTTTATCAGAAAACAAAATTGCTGCTTTTACAAAATGAATCTGGAGTAATAATAGAAACAATCATGCCCTAAATTGGAAATTTTCTCTTTCTCCTACAGGTGCTAGATGAAGAAGCAGAAGTTTTTATAGTCAAAATGTGGAGGTTATTAATATATGAAACAGAAGCCAAAAAGATCGGTCTGGTAAAATAAAGACTTCTTTTTATGGTTTCATTTCAATTTTGTTTCACATAACTGAAGAACTTTGAAGTTTCTCTGTGTTCAGAGACATTTGTGAGACCTGTATTTTTTAAATGTAGAAAATGTGAATTTTTTTCATCCTCTGTTTCACTGAGGCTATCTTTGTTCCATTTCTCTGCTTCCTTGATTGTAATTCTCCAAATCCTAATTGGTGGTTTTCACAGGCCAGATAAAGTAACAGGTATGATTTATAAACTACAGCTGCTGTATACAGTCCTTGACCTTCATCTTCTAGACTGCTTCTTGTAAATATTGAAGACACTCATGTTTTAGAAAACATCTCCACTTATTACATATGGAAATAATTGAACTTTATGTAAATGCACCAGTCTCTTTCCCTCCATTTTTAAAATAGAATAAACTTTAAAATTCCAAAAATGGATGGGAGTCATTTTGCTGGACGACAATTTTCACCTGCATGGATGTGAACTTGTTCACTTGTTGGGCTTTGTAATATTTTATATGGCCTGTCCTGTAGAAAAAACAAATGGTGGACTTGCATAAACTCAGGACTTTAATTTTAACTATATCACAACGTCTCATACTTAGTTTTGTCATCATTGTTTTAATTAGGACAAATACCACACAGTTATAATTACTTCTAGCCCTTCTAATAGAAACATGACATCTTAATTTTTATTACTTAAAACTGGAAATAGAGGCCAGTTTGGGATATTTTGTGGAAAGCAATGGTATAAAGGTGTAATTTGAGCAGAACAATTTACAATGTTAGATCATAACATGTTAAAAGATGAAAAAATGTTTTACGTAAGCCATCAAGTCAGCTGTGACTATTCTTTTTTGTACTGTAAAATGTCTGTCAGATTTGTAGAGGGCACCATTTCCTACCATCTTACTCTATGGGTTTTATACATATGCTGATGTGGTACAAATAACAATGTACTGTAAACTGCATTTTTAAAAATCTCACAAGTAAAAAAAAAACTGTATGCCATAGGCTTCTTGATTGCAGGACAAACCCTTTCCAGGAAGCAACAACTTGTCTTAAAAAATAACTCTTCTGATATCTCTTTACCTGAAGAAATACAGATCACTTACTCAGAAGGTATAACTGTGATCCCATGTTACTGAATTCTTGCATCTGAAAACTTGTTCTTAATGGGATCCTATAAAAGTTTCATTGTGTAAATATTTCCAATATTAAAAATGTATATATTTGATCTGGATTTTGATTACTCAGGTTTAAGATAATATCAATATTTCTATTTCAGTTATGGGAGGAAGGGAATATAAGTGATTAGTTGATGTGCTCATATTGCAGTATAGACTAATCTCAGATTTTGCCCATTTGTCAAACCCAAACATATTGGATCGTGATTTAGCTGCAAACTGATCCTTCTAAAATTAGTTTTAATCTTTTAAAGATTTATATCTAATAAACTACTGGACACAGCCATGGGAGAATTCCAACAGTAGTGCCATCTGGAAAGTGTTTTTTTTTTTTACCTTTTCTCGCTAGCTTATCCCCCTTATTTCATGGAGTTTTCTTATCTAAGTTAACTGGCCCTGATCCCTAGTTAGCTGCTAAACTCAAACTCAGACATGGAGCCTACATACTGGTATTAGAGAAGGTTTGTAAATTCTTTAGAACTGATCTTTAGAACACAATTTTGAGTACCATCACATACAATCTGATCAAAGTTTTATCTAAGTCTGTAATAAACTTTGGATAAATAGCAGGTATTTACTGAATCAACATTCATTATCTTTGTTGGAAAAAAACCTCATAAAGCCTTAGGATATGAGCTTTCTTAAAATTGTGTGTTGAATTAAATGTTGGAATCAATGAGATGATAGTGTAGTACAGGTTTTTTTTGGCGGGGGCGGGGGGGTCTTCCATTTGCTTTAAACTACGTATCTTGCCACCATCAGAGTCTGCTGTTCACAACACAACCTTATGAAAGTGGATCATACCCCCAACAAGAGTTTTCTGGATCTCAGAAAAGGTTGAGATCTGGAAAGAGTTATAAAACTTGCCAAATATTTTGGCCTCCAGCGATCCGCAGTAAATCAGTTAGTGTTCCAGTGGAGAAAATGGAAATGCCTTATGACTTTCAATACTATTTCTACTATTGCAAGTCTTAAGAATTCTGACACAGGTCACACTTGCATTAACTGACACCGTGTCAAGCTATTAGAATAGTGTTTTGTGGACCAACAAAGGAACAGTGGACATTATTTGGCATTGATGAGAAATGTTTTCATTAAAAAGAACCAAAATATTGTCATCAAATCCATCTATGAAGCATGAGGGGGAGAAAAATGATACGCTGCTTTGCAGGTTCAAGACCCAGAGAGAAAAGGGCATTTTAGCCTGTGCAACTGCTACAGGAAATCAGAGTACCAGTTCATAAATGGAACCTAAAACAAATGTAGGATATGGAACATAACAAAATTTAATTCAATTGAAATACGGTACAATCTAAACAGTTTATACAAGACAGCACAAAAATATTGAATTCAAGCAGATCTATAAAGAGGACTAGATCAAAACACCTCTAAACTGATGTGCAGAATTGATGTAAGAAACATTTGAAGTCACTGCAGCTAAATTGTTCCATTACTATATCTAAAGCTTTTAAAATAATTCCAACAAGGACTGAATGTTGACTCACTGTTTCAATAAAGACACAATACATTTTAAAGGGTAAAAATGAAGCTCAGACATTGCAAGTTATAATTCTACTGGTGGTTTATTCTAAATGGTTCATCAACATTGCTCCTTCTGATAAGACTATGATTGAAATTAAATATATTGTCTAAACAAACTTCTGAGGAGGCATTTGCTTATAGTGGTTGGTTATTAACTAGTCAATTGATATTTGCATTAATAAAATCTAAAATCTGACTAGGGTCACAGATATGTATGTCAAGTATGGCAGTCTCCCCCCCCCCCACCAAAACCCCATTATTTTATCTGTTCATAAAATTGTGTCTAACTCTTCATGACCGCATAGGTATAAATTAGGAAATAAGCTCATGCTTTTCTCCCCGCCCCTCCCAAATATATACATAAAGGTATATTTATTTTAAAAGCTAATATTCTTGGAAAATACCAGTGCCTCCTTGCCAAAGAAAGCAGATGGAGAAGCTGAAGTACTAACAAACTTATCTTCCTAGGTTCAAAAATTTAGAGAGGTGGTAACTGTAACCCATGACAATTGCTATTTGAGAGATGACAGCCAATCTCATTGTACACATGTTGTACCCTGACAATAAAGGTTGATGTGATTTGATTTGATGACAAATCTAGACAAAACGTTGGAAGTACAGATTAACAGCAATCAATCAGAATAGAGCTGAAAGGGACCTTGGAGGTCTTCGAATCCAGCCCACTGCTCAAGCAGGAGACCATTTCAGACAAGTGACTGTCCAGGCTCTTAAAAACCTGCAGTGATGAAGTACCCACCCACAAGCTTCTTTTAATATAAAATATAACTATAAAATAAAATATAAATTTTATTTGGATTTTCACAAGAAAAAAAAACAATACAAATAAAACATCTTTTTTTGAGAGTAGCATGATCACGGGTTATCACTTCATACAGACACAAACTCAATTTCATGTTCATCTTTGTGTTCTATTCCATGTCTTATTGTTTAACATTTTCTACATAGTTTTTCCCCTCTGATTTTCTCAACTTTATTTTTATCTCATATCTCAATTCAAATTGTTATATTTGTACTTTTGTGTGTCCTGTTTCAATTTCATATTATCTTTTCGCATTAAACAAATTTTCCCCTGTAGTTACTAATTGGAGTATGACACCTTTATATCTTTTGATTTTGACCATTCAATTCTTATTTAAACTTCAATTTATACCTTTAAGATTATAACATTCAATATAATACATAACTTCCAATCGAATTCTGCTTGGTAAATTCTTAAAATACATACTATATCCTTAAAAAAATTATATATATATATATATGTAAATAAACCATTCATTCCATTCCAAATCAATTCTATTGTTAATATTCATTAAAATCTTAACTTTCTTTTCAACTGAATATCATCCTTTCTTGTGAACACTTATAAACTTTCCATAATTCTTTTTTTTCCATATTTCTCTTCGCTTATACTTTATTAGTAATAATTAAAATGTTCCCATCTTTTCCTAATTTCATTCTCTCATTCACTTTCTTTCATTTATTTATTAACATTCCACTATATTACAATAAATATTTTATCCATCATTTTAGTCATCCTATTTTCTAAAATTTATATTTCTAATATAACAATACTATCTTATGCACCTTTGCAGAATCCCTTTTTCAATTAAATTTTCACCCATTATCTCTGAACAGGCTTGTACTTTCAATCCTTATACCTTATATACCTCTATATCTTGTTTCTGTCTTTTGTAACTTCTTTTCCTTTCCTTCTCCCTCTTCTTCTCCCTCCCCTTTTTACCCCCTTGTCTCTCTATTTCTAATTCTCTCTTATGTAATCCCCTTTTCTGTTGCTTTCTAATATTGTAATTATTTTTCAAACTATTCTTTTTTTTGGTTGTTTTTTGAAATCTTAAACTTTTCACTCTTTCCCCCCTTTCCTTTTTTCCCCCACATAAAGTTACTTGGTCATTAAAGATGGCTTCTTCTTTGTCCAGATGTTCTTGTTCTACAAGCATTTCTTGTTGTTTCTCATAGTTCCAGATCTCCATTTCTAGGAACTGAAATACGAAGCCAAAAGAACCTCTCCCTTCTAGTGCATCTTCTTTCTTTTTTTTTGTTCCATTTTCAGTTCTTCTAGAAGTGATGCCATTTTTAAACACTTTTCAACAACCACCCAATTGATTTTAATCATTTAAATGCAATAGCCAAAAATCCAAAATCACCAAGTAATCCAAATTATCCAAAACTGTTTCTTCTTGCTTCTTTTTTCACTTTCTCTTCCTGGGGTTCTATTCTTTTGTTACAAAGTTTCAGTTGGAATGTATCTTTTAGGAATCTTGTTAAAGTTTCACTGTAAATTCCTTTTAGTTCCAGGCAGTCTCCTCCATTTTTCCAGATCCTGCCCTTTTTATTCTTTTCTCTCCTTTCCTGCTTTTAAAAGTTTTTAAGTATCCAAAATCCTTTATTATCCCTTTGACATTTTATTTTCAGCTTAAATGCCTATTAATGTCAAAGTGGATTTTTATCAATTTCTTACTTAAGTCTCTTAGCTGTCAGTATAAGGAAGGGAGGAGGAAAAAAAACCAAATCCTTTCCCTTTCCTCTCTCCTTCGCCGCTTCAAAATCTTCAGGAACAATGTTATTTTTATAGTTTAAATTCCAGGGTACCTTATGTTGTTGCTTTTTCGATATAACCCGGTCAACCAAAACTTTCTCTTCTTATCTTCCTCCTGCACTTACTTTTCCAGTTGAGTTCTTCTTTGAAGTGGCCATTTCTGACCACCGCTGCAACCACCTTCGGGAAAGGGAGTATTGGCCAGCTGGGGAGGAGAGATGCGGCTCTCCTTGACCCTGCTGGTGGTCTCCCCCCTCTTCACCATCTCTATGGGGTAGCTTATCCCCGAAGCCAGCTGGCTCGGGGCACTCCGGCGGTGAGCACGGATTGAAACCGCACACGATTGCGGATTTCGGTCTATCGCCAAAGAAGCTCAAACCAGAAGTCGCACCCACAGCTTCTGAAGGCAAGCTGTTCCACTGGTTAATTGTCTTCACTGTTAGGAAGTTTCTTCTTGATTCTAGGTTGTTTCTGGTGCTTTGGAAAATAAATTTTCCCCTCCTCAAATACTGGAATACTGCTATCATTGTCTCCCACCCCCCCCCACCCCCTTTTTTTTCTAAACTAGCCAAACTCAGAAATCTTGCAAGCCTTCTTCATATGCTTTAGTCTCCAGGCCTTTCATCATCATAGTTGCTCTTCTTTGCACATTTTCCAAAGTCTCAACATCTTTTTTGTAATGTGACCAAAACTGGATACAGCATTCCTGATGTGGCCTTACTAAGGCTTTATAAAGAGGTACTAATACTTCACATGATTTTGATTCTATACCTCTTTTTATACAACCAAGGATTGTATTAGCTTTTTTGGCTAATACCAAAAAGTGCTGCACAAAAAATGCAGCTGCACCGAGAATGCAATTAAAGCTATATTTTTGAGACTATTGAAGATTAAAACCATATTCCCGGACAGTTATAGTGCCGATATATTACATTCAAATCTGGTATTATTATCTGAAGTGTTTTTCTGATGACTTTAAAACTGCATGAGTGAATTATGCATAAAACTACTGGTTATCATGGGATTTTGTAAATAGAGATTAATGGCATGGTTGCTTTTGATTTAATGCACTATGTTAAAATGACTATTCTGGTGTATAGAAAACTTACAGGCTGAGCAAGAATCTGGCCTTTATGATTTAAATCAAACTATGACTGTTTAGTTAGGTTAGGGCAACATGCAAACCCAGCCGCTGAGAGTTTGGCAAAATAATGTTCTAAATTAGATTTAAGGGATTAGTTCCTATTTCCTTCATTTCCTTGAAATGAAAATATCTGTGTAATGTTTAACTGTAACAAAACTTGTCTGAGATGTCATGGTTTCAGAACTGAGTTTATTCCAAACAAAAAACCAAAAATCTGGATTATGGTAACAGCCACAAAACCGTTAGTGTAATTCCCGAGAGGGAGGAGCTACTGTTACTATAGACTGAATCCACTACATGGTTTTGTATCACACCCTACATTAAAACAACCATACAAACCAGCAAGTGAAGATTCAGAGCTAAACCCGCCTCTCAACTTAAGTTGACACCGAGTGTAATTCACCTGATACTCTTAGAAGCTTGCCCTACAACTGAAAAGGATCCTTAACGATGGATTCGGTAGTCCAAACTTGAAAGTACTCATTTCTTCTCAATTGCTGGCACTCTTGGTGGCTGTCGCTTCCTCAGCTAAGCCATCTTAAAATAGCTCGAACCTCAATAAAAGCGTGAAGCAACCGATCAATGGTCACTCTCGAGAAATGTCAATGAAAACAGCCTAAAAATAATAAATGAGATTTCTGCACCAAGCTACCGTATGTAAACTTCAATTCCAAGTACACAAAATAAATCGCGTTAAAATTTACCCTGGCGCGTACATCCATCCAACGCTTCCATTCCCTGGGAATGAATACCGCCGAAGCCGCCGCAACTCCTCCGACGCATGCGCGCTAGCTCCCTTTCTTCCTCGGCTGCAGCTGGCTACGGTCCGCCGCCGAGGAGGCGAGGCGGTTCCTTTGACGGACAAGCGCGATTTGCCAAAGAAAACAAGGAGCGGGAGACGCCCCGCCTTCGGGAGTCCAGAGGAGGCGGGGCGAGGCCTGAGCCGGAAGCGTCGGTCGAAAAGGGAGGGCAGGTGGGGGGGGATTTTTTTTTTTTTTTTTGGCCGTGGTTCTGTCCGAAGTAAAGACGATTTGTACGCCGAGGCGGTAAAAGGTAAGCGGCGGCTTTCGTGGGGGAGGGCGAGGGCCCCGTGCGGGAGGAAGGTCGTTGTCCCTCGGGACTCTTTCCCTTCGGTCTCTCCCTACCCGCCCCCTTAACTACAAAGGAGCAGAACAGCTTCGGTCCATCAAAACTTCCTTCCTTCCAGCGGCCGTGGCCTCCCTTTTGCACCCCTTTGTAAATCCGGAGTAACGATTCCCTTCCCCGCCCCTTGATTAGGGATCGGAGTGCCTGGAGAAAAAAGCGGGGATGGAGAAAGGGGTTTGTTTTTTTTTACGCCGGAGTTGCCTGCTCTTGGACCTGCAGCTCGGGCGGGCTGCGCCGGGGGGGAAAGCGAGGCTTGGACCGGAATCTATAACTGCGTTAAAAGCGGAAGCCCGTTGGCTGGAGCCGATCTCATGGGGGTGGATGTGACTGTGGCCGATGGAGGAGCTTTGTCTATGGGAAGGCTGGTTCCCACGTCGTGGAAGTGAAAAGGATACATTTCCTTTGGCTCCGAGGCCCATTCATCAGGATCCTGGTTCCCTTTCTCCCTCAAACTTAGGTCGGACTTAAGTTCTCTCATCTTTTCTTTAAAGCGGGGGAGGAGGAGGTGGGGTGAGGTGTTTCCTAAACTTTTTGCCCTCGCATCTCCCGTTGATGTAATCTTAACGCCTCTCCCTTAAAAGACAAACGTCAATAAACAATGAAACCGATAGAGAATGTCTTGTAGCAATACCGTGAAATTGAGGGATTTATTGTAACAATATAACAAAGGGGTCTTTGTTTCTGAGGCAGGTGCACCTCACGCTTTGGGGAAACCCGTTTTTAAGGGCATTATCCTGTACTTTTTTGGCTTCTCAAAGAGGACAATAGCTGCGTGTTTTATGGCATCTTTAAAAAGAGAGGCTCTTTTGCGGACCAGAATCCAATTTAAGAGTGAGAAATGTTTGGTTTTGGTAAAGAGGGTTATTTAAATCAAAGAATAAGGGGGGGGGAAGAGAACAAAATGCAAGATGAAATACAAAATATATAAAATAAGCATGGTGACATTTAAAAATGGCAGTTGCTCATCAGTACTAAGTTATTGGGTTGTAAACTTGACTTAACTATTATCTGAACTATTGAATATATTATAATTGGGTTGACATATATCAGGCTAAGCATTATTTACAAAATATAGTGCTTGGATTAACACAACATGCTAAATTACAAAAACCATGTTATGGCTTGGAAAAATATTTGAACTAACCATAGCAAGAGCAAATCACAGAAAAATTGCTATTGCATTATTTTAATTTATATTTGTATGGTTATATTGTGTGTCTGATAAATATTTTGGCAGGAGTAAATTAATAACTTGCATCTAATGCATAGTCCTGGTAATAATGTAGTCTTTAGTATCCTTTAGCACCAACCCAAGGAGGGAAAAAATGGAATTTTCATCTTTACCTACTCCTAAAATGTGTTTTTGGCCTTGCTGTATATAACCCCTACATAGGGTGCCGTTATTTGATTCACTGGTTGAAAATAATTGCCTACACCTCTAGGTATCAGATAATATTTTCTCCTTAGTTCATTGTGTCACTTTTTTTTAGTTTTAGGTTTTAGTTTTATTTTATTGATTAGACCATGGGCCATATCTAAGTGGTTATTGTGTCACTTCATAATATTGTTTGAGTTTAGTCTTCAAAACAGAACTTAGCTGTCTTCATCCAACTTAGCTCACTATTTTCATCTTTTGCTTTTAGGTTATTCATTCATCAACTTCAAAATATTAGTACTGTAATATTAGTACAGTAATTGTTCATTTGTATTCCTAATTGCCGTGCCATCCTTCTTCAAAATTACTTGTAAAACTGGGTTCTTTCTGTACAACACAGTATACAGTGGTAGTAGTTACACTATTATACATGGATGTTTATATTCTAAGATCTATCTATCATATTTGATTTCTTTCTGATGCCAGAATTTGTGATCAGCCTGCTTGAGAAATTTATTTACAATTTGGAAAATATTTTTTTATTCTGGTTGAAATGAGTGGAGGAAGAAACCTTCAAGGGTAAACAGCAAAGTTATTTAAGAATGCATATTCTGAGCTACTTTGCATCCTATTGATTTGATGCATAACACTGTTGCCTAATTATGATTTATAGTCAGGAATGTTTGTTAACTTTAAATTCATCTCACATAAGTATCCTATAGTTCTGCAGCTAGTTTTGATATATTGTAAGTGATGTTATAGTTCAAAAGTTTTGCCAGTCACAAATCCATGGTAAGTGTGAAATCACTGGACAATAGTTGCTTAAGCATCATTAATCTCTACACCAAATTGCTTTTCTTTGATTTAGAAAGAGCTGCTAAGATAGTTTTTCATTTGAGTTCCTTCAAATAAATTGTAAATTTTCAGAACTTCTTTCTTTTTTAAAAAAAATTACAGCTGCAGCTGCAGTCCCAATGGCAGAACTATCGGCACATTTTTCACAGGTCCCGCGTGGGCAACTGAAAGAGAATGCTTCTGACAATCAGCTGACCAATACTGTACGTAAGAGATTATTTTATTACATGCCAAAATGTAAACTGAATGGATTATACATAGTAGACAAGCAGGATCAGTGGCATATTAAGGGTGCATTGCATGGTGACTTGGCAAATAGGACACTGTTCAGAGTGTTGGTAACAGGTATTGAGCCATGTCATTGCTATTGGCACACCAATCAGCTGTTGGTGGTCAGCAGCACAGCAGCAAGAGGAAGAGTGTGTTAAAAAAATTACCCTCTTTGGTACGCCAGTGTGCAGAATGCCCCTTCCTTGTTCCTTAACTTGGTTTTTTTCCTTATTTCTACTTTTTGCTGTTAAACTGTAACAAAGATGTCTATGGAGATGCAGGTCATGGTTGTCCCAAAGGTGCTTTTTTTTTTTTCAAGGGGCAACTGGAGTTTTTGGTTTTTCTTTGAAAGCGTTTTGCTTCTCATCCAAGAAGCTTCTTCAGCTCTGACTGGATGGTGGGGAATGGAAGGATTTATACCCCTTGCAGACACCTGCTCATTTGCATCCTTTTAGCAGGTCATTAAGGTCACCTGGAGGTTTATGTGTCATCAGGGTCACCTGAGTGGTGCAAATTGGTGTGGTCCCTTCTTAGAACTGTTAAAAGGACTGTGTTGTAGATTGGAGATAGATGATGTCATATCCCTCCCCCTCTGTTGGGAGAGGTCTGTTCAATTTTGACATAGATGGCCTCTTTGACCCCTCTTTCAAACCAGCAATCCTCTCTGTCCAAAATATGGACTTAAAAGAGTGGCCTGGGTCTTTTAAATGCAGATGGACTGCTGAATCTAGTCCTGCTGTATTTGTTCTCCTATGCTGTGCTATGCGTACATATAAGGAAGGTGGGTTCTCTGTGGCCCCTTTGTGACATGCTAAGCTTAGATTGTAGGGCTAGCATTGATGAGGAGATCTAAGCTTAACTATCCATTCAACTATGAAGTTCACTGGGAGTTCTTAGATCAGTCACCATCTTTTAGCCTAACGCTTTTTACAGGATTATTATTTTTTGTTTTAAACAAGTTTTATTCAATTTTTCCAAAACAACATTAAAAAAAGCTCTTTTCAGTGTATAATTCCAAGTCACCACTTTTACATGCAAATATGACAGTAATTATATATTCATTTTTACATGCAACATTCCGTCTTGCCCATTTTTAACTTAATTCTGTTAAGTGTTATTACTTTTATTCTAAGCATCATCTCAATTCATTTCAAAGTATTTCAAATATATTTTTTAAACATTAACATTTCTTTTAAGGGTGGCCTTTTCCAAAGTACTCTTTTCTCATTTTACCTCTCAACTTTTATATAAGAAAAGGAACAGGCAAGTTAATGCTATTCATTAATATTACTCTCATTCTAAACATATTTTTTACAAGATTATTGGGAGCATATGGTGGAAAGTAGAAATAGAACAATAATAGTAATAGTGAACATGTATGTGAGAAACCAGAATTATTTAATTTGATTTTCCCTTCTTTTGGCCACTTAACTCCCAAAGGCCTGTGGGCAGTTTCACAAATTAAAACCAATATGGTGGAATAGGCTATAATGCAATAGGGGCAATATATGACAAAGTAAAACAAGATATGGAGAAAAACCATGAAAGACAGATCTTCACTTCACTCATGACTAAAAAGGATATCCTAAACAATCTAGCCCCAAGCCTTCAACAATAACTTTTTAAAAGATTGCCTAATGTGTAAGGTTAAAGCTATGCAGACCTCGGGGATGATGGGAGGATGGACTGTTCCATAGGGCAGATACCTCCAGGGTCCCATTAGATGGCCTTTTTAATTGACAGGATACAGATTACACCGATCCTATCAGAATAAATAGAATAGGCAGCCACTATAGCAGATAGGTAGTCCCTGAATGCCTGGTAGGGCTTTATAGGTGCTATCCAGGACCTTGAAATGCACCTGGAATCCAACTAACCACCAGTTTGTCTCAATAGCAAGAGTCCTACGTGGGAATAATGAAGCATCCCCATGACCGCTCGCTGGGCTTCACTTTGGATCAGCTGTAATTTTTTTGATGCCAGATTTCTGGCCAGCTCCATGTAGAGCATGTTGCGGTAATCCATTTGCAACATGAGTAAGGTATGAGTGACCATAAAGAGGGCCATTCCACTAGCTGAACCTATACAAAAACTTTCCAGTTCACAACCATTAACTTGCTCTTTAAGGAGGAGTTGTAAATTTAGAAAGACCCCTTCAACTTGCATGTAGAACTAATAAGACTAAATACACAAAGCCATCGAGAGTCACTAGGGTTTCATCTGAGCCTCTTCCTCCATAACCAGAGTCTGTTCCTCCATATCCAACAGCTTTCAGGGAAAAAAAACCCCTCAAAAGCAGTGTTGAGATATACAGATTGATGATATCTGACCCTACAAAGGATCCAGTGGTGGTATTCTTCCGGCCAAACCGGTAGCTCCGAGGATCATCTGTGAGCGAAGTGGTTTGTTCCGACAATCAGCTGCTGGGGCCGCCTGCCCGCCCCGGCTCTATTCTTACCTTTATTTCCTGGTTTTCAAGCTCAGCTGCTTCGCGCATCAGCTGTATTACATACAGGGCTTGCAGCAGAAGGTGAGTTGCAAACACTGTGGATGCATGCGCAAAGTGCGCACGCTCACACCGAACCGGTAGAAAAAAATGATTGAAACCCACCACTGAAAGGATCATCTTCCCAAAAAATCTCATATAGATGTTATTCAGGAGTATTGAGAGTATTAAGCTTTAGGCATGCCACAGAAAGGTTTAGGACTCTACTTCTACCCCCTTGAACAACCAGATTTTAATTTTATGTTTTTAAAGTTATTTCCTAGGAAGTCTTGTTTCCCTTGCAATATAATCATCCACATTCTGGATTTGTGATTCCTGTAATAAATGAAATCATGCTATATTAAATTGTTATGAGTCTCTACGATCTTGTCATGTCCCTGGTGGACTGATTCTGAGGGAGAGGAGGAACAGCACACAGGGAGTGGAAGTGTGGCTCCGGGGGTTGTGGAGGAGGCTGGGGAAGGGCAGAAGCCGGCTGGGCAGTCAGGGGAAGACCCAGGCCCATCCCTTCTCCATCCTAGGGCACAAAGGGAGGAGAGGATAAGGGAGAGACGTGGTTTACTGGGAAGGAGAAGGCCTTGATCCTCTTCATGGGCTGCAGCTGTGACAACTGGATAAGAGAACAGACATGCGTATGGGCGAGTGCTGGAGACAAAGCATGGAAATATCTCTATTGTTCCTCTCTGAGTTTGGCATCCTTCGCAGTGTGTGTTCTGATATCTGTGGACATCTTCAAGCCCTTATCTCTTGCCTGGTTTGTGTTGTTTTTTTTACTCTTTATAATTTAAACGGCATTTCCTCCTTCTTGTAACTGCTTGTGTGGGAGTTTTTTTTGTCTCCGATCAAGGATATTTGGAGCTTGGAAGCAAAGTGAAGGAATAAAAGGGGCTTCCCCTGTTTTTTGTGACTATGTTTATTTTGTATCCCATCCTGGGTCATCACAAATCTGGTGCTTGTTAGATGTGCTGCTATTTGAGTTTCAAACTTAAGGGGCAGCAAGGGAAATTGTAGTTCTGATATGTTCTGCACCGTATTTGGTTATATGGCACAGGTTCAGAGTAAACAGACAATTTGTGTCATCCCAAAGCGTAGTACTTAAAAATCTACTTAGATAGTAGCTGCCTTCATAACCTTGGATGTCTCTGTACAGGTAGTCGTCGACTCACAACAGTTCATTTTCAAAGTTACAAGAGCTATGAAAAAAATGACTTATGACCATTTTTTTCATGCTTAAAACTGTTGCAGCATCCCTATGGTCACGTGATCAAAATTCAGAAGCTTGGCAACTGATTCACATTTATGACGGTTGCAGAATCCCTGTGTCATGTGATCAACCTTTTGTGACCTGACAACCAAAGTCAATGGGGAATCCAGATTCATTTAACAGCCGTGTTACTCCCTTAACAAATATAATGGTTCACTTAATATCTGCAGCAAGAAAAGTTGTAAAATGGGGCACAACTCACTTAACAGATGTTTCACTTCGTAACATAAATTTTGGGCTCAATTGTCGTAACTCCTGTACAAATGTCTTGAGTGATAAGGAACCAAGAGACCAATCCTAATATTAAAGTCAGTATATTAATATTTTAAAACCATATGCAATGCCTTGTAACGTTGATTGAAAATGTATAGACAAATGTACAGATTATGTAAGAAATACTACTTTCAATGTTCTTACATCTTTAAAATTATTACTTTGGATTTCATATTAACTATAAAATTGACAGTTGCCAAGGTTGCTGTTTATCTTTGGTGTTACTCATTCACTTTGAAGATATATATAGTATGTTCTTATACACAAAAAAGTATAAATGGGATTAGTTCAAACCTTTTTCAAGGCTTTAGTTCCTTAATGGCTAGTGAAATTGAAGAATCCATTCCTTTGCTTCTGCTAAAGGTAGGTTTTCTGAACTACGTTCTAGTTAATGCTAATCAGGTAGGGATTTGTATTTTCTATATACTAAAGCAAAGTGCAAAAGCTGTAACATGATTCCTTGCCATTTAAAATGCACCTTTGAACAGACCTTACATTCTAGGCAACAGTGAGTAATCTTGTTTGAGCAGTTTCTAACTGTAGCCTTGAGCATAGCTTTAAGAGTTTGATATAAATGTCCTTATAATGTTTGATATAAATGTCCCCCCCGCCGCAATTTATTCTACTGTGACAGTATTCTATAGTTTGATTTATCAATGTGAAAATAATTTTACTTATTTATGAAAATTAATTCTATTATAAAATAATCCCAAACGTTCATTGTAAATAACCTTTGGATCACAGAAGTGTTGCATTTTTATTAAATAAGTTTGATAAAGGTCTTTTTTAAATTACACACTTATATTGTTCACTAGAGACGAAAATATAGAGTCACAGTTTTGACACGTTTTCTTATTTGTGTGATCTATGTTTGTTCTTAACCTATACTTTTGCTTATTGGGGAATAATAATATGAAAGTTTGGAAACTTGATGTAGATATACAAACCAGGGCATCATATTTAGGGACTCTTCAAAATACCATGAACACATTACCACCATCTTTCTACTTAACCTCCTGTAAGAAAGCACCATACTGGTTTAAACAATCTGCATACCTGCCTTTTGTAATGAAAATACAAAGGGTAAAATGCATGCAGCAGGTCAAAGAACAAGAGCCATAGAAGCTCTTGGGACTGAGAGGAGCTGATAGAATTAAATCTCTTTTTTACAGGATTAAAGAAACTGAATTTCACCTCTGCATTTTAAAACACTGGATGCTGTTTAAGTAGTTACTTACTGAAAGCCTGAATGCCATGCTGACAATTCCACAACAAAGAAACTGATTCACAGGAAAATAAGTAGCCCATATGTCAAGGTTTTGGTGGTCATTCCCCTTCTAGGCTATTTCTTACATAGCTACAGCTGCAGCACTGTAACCGCATTTGATGCTCCCAGATCATTGACTTCTAGAATTTACAACACAAGAGACACATAAAACATGGAAATATTTACGGATGTGGAATTCTTAATTTCAGAATGTCAACAACGAAAGACGACAACAGGAGAGTGGTGACCGGAGATCTAATAATCCTACTCCAGCAACTAATGGACAGCCACAGCAAAGGCCTCGACAAGTGGTGGAGCAAGATGAGGAGGAAGAGGAAGAGCTGACACTGAAATATGGGGCCAAGCATGTGATCATGCTCTTTGTGCCCGTCACATTGTGTATGGTAGTTGTGGTTGCAACTATCAAGTCTGTCAGTTTCTATACACGCAAGGATGGGCAGCTGTACGTAACTCACTTTTTCCATAATTACTTTTTTTCTTGCTGTGATACTCTTTATTTTTTTTCTCCTCTGTGTTTATTCTTTAACCAATGTTTGAAAATATAGTTATTGTCAGTACATTTGCTATTTTTGGTTTAGCTAGAAATCCATTTTTCTCTAGTTCCCCAAAAGAGACAGTTTTGGGGGAGAAATTTCCTTCCTTCCTTCCTTCCTTCCTTCCTTCCTTCCTTCCTTCCTTC